CTGAGAGATGAAGACATTTTGTATGATGATTTCCCTAGCAGAAATGATGGCAAGAAAATTGAACATTCTGCAGGTTTTTTGCTTATATCTTCTTCATGCACTGGAGAGCTGCATATTTCACATCATTCGCATAATTCGGTGACAAATGTCTACCATAAAATGTGCATAATTTTCGGGCCAGTCGTTCTTCGCATTGCATTTTCAATATCGGTAGTGTATAAACAGTATATACTTAAGCTTTAGGCATGAGGCACTGTCTCAATTAAAACAATAACAATTTCAATTTTTTTTTTTTTTTTTTTTTTTTTTTTTTTGTGCGTGTGTGTGTGCGAATGAACAGTTCATAAGATACTACATCAAGAAAAACTGTTTATTTTTTGAAATATGAGTTCTTTTATTATGGGATGCTAAATTTGGCTATTTATTAATATTTTGATGATTTCAAGGTCAATTTGTATACTTTGAGAATTGATAATTTTGAGAATGATTTTTTTTTTTTTTTACAAATATAATGACACTGATAAATATCATGAAAATAATGATATATTAAAATTATATTTAAGAATTTATCTTAAAACATTTTTATTTTCTCCTGCCCTCTTTTAAAGTAATATTACTTTCCATTTTTGTGACTTACGAATATTTTGATTTTAAAAAATAAACAAAATAAAAAATTCACTCGATACTTTTCTTTTCTGGACTTTTCCCCCTTCAAAAATTGTATAGCTTTTTCCTCTTACAGAATTGGTTATGATTTTAAGAAGTTTTAGAAGGATTTAAACGCAAGATTTATAGCCCTTTAATTCTAGAAAAATATGATGAAATGAAAAATGATTTCATATACTAACTAATGGACATGTTTCATAGAGAATTGGGGTTGGATTTCTTATCTTTGAAGACTTTTTTAAAGAACAGTGAAAACAAAATTATTTGAATTTTTCCTTTTGATCATGGAAGACATATTTATCTTCCCTTTATTTTCTTATCTTTCCACCAGACACAAGCTTTGAAGCAAGCAAAGAAATTAAAAACCAACAGTTTCTTAAAAGATTCATCTTATATGTTTAAGTGCACTTATACATACATCAGTGCCTGACCTAAATTCTAAAAATTTAGCTATCCCTAGATTTTGTTGCTCGATGCTTAAGTAAATTATATTATATATATATATATATATATATAACTCTCAGCCAGGCTCTGGCAACAGCTCTGACCTTATGTCATTTCAAATTTTTTCTCAATACTCATATTACGAGGGTAAGTTGAAAAATAAGTTTCCCCTGTTGACTGTGGTCAGAGTTGTGTATGAAAGTCAAAAAATAGAATGAGACATTAAAGATATGACATACCTTTATTTTATTATTCTCGTACGAGTGCGTTGAGACATTTGTCATATCGCTTGATAAGCTTCAAAAAGTCCTCCAAGAAAAATTCACGCTTTGCATATGGAAGAAGCGTTGAGCGGCTATGGGCAAAAGACGACACAGCAGGAAAACGCGCAAGTCACCGATACACCATTGGGTAGAGGTCGCTGCAAATCAAGCAGATGGCGCTGTTGCAGTGCCTGCGCAAAGCGGAGACCAGCCTCTCATTTGAGCCCTGGTTGGTATGGACAGAAGGTGCATTTTGAATTCGTGGTCAAAGGAGGAAGTGAGAGCGGTTATCCGCTATGAATGGGCACGTGGAGTATCAGGAACAGAAATTCATAACCGCCTCGTGGAAGTCTATGGCCAGGTGTGATGTCGAAGCAAATGGTGCGGAGATGGTGTCGCATATTCAGTGATGGACGTCAGCAAGTGGAGGACATACCGAGAGCTGGACGGACGCGCACGGCCACTACAGATGCAAATGTCAGGAAGGGGGATGACATGATTAGAGTGAACCGGCGTATCACCATCGATGAAGTAGCGGAAGAACTTGGAATTTCACATGAGCAAGCTCAAAACATCATCCACGACATTCTTCAATACAGAAAAGTGTCAGCACGATGGGTGCCCCAACAATTGACCTCGACACACAAGGAACAACACATGGGGGTCAGCCTGGAACATCTCGTGCGTTACCATGAAGATGGGAATGACTTTCTGTTTCGGATTATGACGGGGGATGAAACGTGGGTCCACCATTTCACGCCAGAATTGAAGGCCGCATCTATGGAGTGGAAACATCCGTCATCACCTGTCCGAAAGAAGTTCAAGACAACTCTCTCTGCAGGTAAAGTGCTCCTCACAGTTTTCTGGGATGCCCAAGGGGTTTTGTTGCTGGACTTTTTGGAGGTTGGAACCATCAATGCTATGCGCTACTGTGACACCCTGTCGAAATTGAAAGAGGCGATTCGGAAAAAGCGGCCTGGCCTTCTCACATCTGGCGTTTTGCTGTTGGATGGCAATGCCAGACCACATTCGGCGACAGCCACGCAAAACCATATTGCAACTCTTGGTTGGGAGCGCCTACATCATCCGCCATACAGTCCTGATCTCGTACCAAGCGACTTCCATCTGTTTCCGGCTTTGAAGAAAAATCTCGGGGGAAGGCGCTTTGGAAGCAATACTGAAGTGAAATAAGTTGTTCAACGCTTCTTCCATATGCAGAGCCCTGATTTTTTCCTGGAGGGCTTTTTGAAGCTTATCAAGCGATATGACAAATGTCTCAATGTACTTGGTACCTTATGTGGAAAAATAAAGGTATGTCATATCTTTAATGTCTCATTCTATTTTTTGACTTTCATACACAACTCTGACCACAGTCGACAGGGGAAACTTTTTTCAACTTACCCTCGTATTAAAGAAATAAAATTAGCAGTTGCTTCTACACATTCTAAGTAGAATCAGTTCTTTAGAATAAATGGAATCTTTAATTAAATCTGAAAATTCGACAATGGAGAAGGAAATTCATTGAAGAAGAAATTGCTTTTATAAAAGAAAGAAAATTATTCTTGAGAGGCACATTATTGAAACATTAACAAATTTGGAGATGAAGCAGAGCCTAGTGGGAACATTGACATATTTATTGAAACTAAGAGAAAGAAACGGATGTAAATTAACTAAAATATGTTGAAAATTTTCAAATTAAAAATTTACATAAATATTTTGTTGTTTGCTGTGGCTATAAAAAATAAATGTTTTGTATAATTATTGTTATGAAGTATTAGGATAGGTGGCGCTAACGCGTCAAAAGAATTAGATCTTGTAACTCAGCATCAGCAGGACGTGTGTCATGCTAGTATCGAAAGGGCTAAAATCCTGCAGCCCCACCCTGAAATATGTATATAATATTGTATATAATGTTTCATCATCAAAATAAATGTTGTGTGTGAACTTCGCTTAATCCTTGAAAAGTCACCGACCACAAACAGCATCTTGTAACTACACCTCTGGATACTTGGAGCCTTTCATGATAGCTCACCTACAATTATATTAAGATCATTTTAGAATCAATATCATAAATTTTAATTGCTATAAAATGTTCTTAGGGAATTTTATTGGATATTTTTTAAAACTAATAATAAAAAAACTATAATTGTATCTATGTAAATCTATTTTGACTAAGAATATCTTAACTACATAATTTATTATTTATAACCAACTGCTTACCCATATAAGTCATCTCTACATGTTGTATTACCGCTTTTCTTTACTCCTTATTGTGGATGTAAGTTACAACACAAAATGTAAAAATTAAATCTTAGTTTTTTCCTTAAAACTAATGAGATTTTGAATAGTACAAAAAAAATATTTATATTAAATACTGTGTATTAACTGTTATTATATTGTGCATTACAACTCCAGCAAATGTACATGAAGCTATAATACTAACTGGGTCAGACAAAATGCAGCTAACTTTCAACACTTACCAACCATATCAAGCATTCATGTGTGTTCTGATCAGTTGCTCTCTGTCTCTAAGCAAGCAGGAGGCAACAGCCAAACTAATGTTATAAGTCATGCTGATTATTATTTTACTTCTCAATTTAATTAATACCAGACATAAAATCTGCATTAACCTTTGGAGTGCGCGAGTACATGACGAAATGAGGAGTACTGAAAGAATCAGTATGAAACTAACTATTAGTAAATTAAAAAGTCTCATAACTTTTTTAAAATATGTGGGACTATTATAAGTATAAATGTTTCAAGAAAATTCATAATTTAACACTAATTACTTGAAAACAAATTATGAAGTTCATTTTATTCTTGTATTTGTTTTAAAATTAAGTTAAATATTAGATTAGGTTTAATGATCTTATTTGCAGATTTATTTTATTCATACAAATTACAAAAGTGAAGTTCAGGTGTAGATAATGGCTTTAGATTATTCAGTTTGAATTTGTTGATAGGTCCTTAATTTTTTTCATTGATAGTCCTTAAAAGTACTTAATTTCCACGTGCAGAAATGTGTACGAACGCTGTTGAAAGAAAAAAAATTTTAACAAATTCAAGGAAAATATTTTGTATCTTTAAAATACTGAATATCTTGATTTTAAATATGTTTCAATATACGACATATACTTAAGTAATTTAGTAACACTAAATCCTATCTTGTTTAGTTAAATATTTCTTTATATGCAGTCTGTATAAGATCCAGCATATTTTTAGCTGTAATTTCCTGAAATTCTATTAACTTCAATTTTTGATTACTCAGAATTTTGGGTACTTTTCCATTAAAGACATGCCAAACAACCAAACATTTTCAGCATCATATTGATGTATTTTGGTTTATTTCTTTCCCCATGCCTTCAGTTGATACTAGACAATGCAGAATTTGGAACAGCAACAAGGAGCATTTTCTGATTTTATGATAAAATCCCTACAAAACTCATTGTGGAAGAAGAAAACAGCCTATTTTTTTTCTTTTCTTTTTGTGAATTAGTATTATTACTTTTACTCTTCAGAAAAACCTTTTAAAATTAAGTAGTAAATTTGTAATTACATTTTCACACAATGAAAGTCAATTAAATTGTGTTAATAAATTTCATTTCTTTTAATTCTGATTTGATATAGAGGATAAAGAGGAGAAAAGCAAAGATAGTTATCACAACTTGAAAAGTATAAATTCTGTTACTAAGGAAGTCTTAGATGAGTTAAAGAAAGAAGCTATGAATAAACCGGCAGTAAGCAACTTTATTTTATTATTAATTCAAGTATTTCTTTTTTCTTAATTATTTGAAAATTTTAAAAAGGCATTTTTTTTCCATTTGTGTTGTTATTATTAGTTGAAACTACAAAACAACAAAAGCAAAATATAGAAAAAAAATTTGATTAAAGAAAATTAGAATGAAATATTTTGTGCCAAATAAATTTAATGAAACCTCTCCTAGCAACTGCCTTTGAAAGCGCACAGTATAAATCCAAAATCTTAGGGCGATTTTGGTGTTATTGATACACTAAAATATACCATTCTAGAACTGACTTTTTTATAAGTTACATGTGCCATTTTTTTTTAAATTATGACTTTTGTCATAAAACTATTTCAAAGTTTCATTTAAAAGGAAGGGGAGAAAAAGAGCTGCACAATTTCTCAAAAAATTAGGGAGAATAAAACTAACAATAATTAAAAGGATTTTGAAGAAATATTCCCTGATTATGTTGGACAAGAACTAAGAAAGAAAGAAAAAATTGTCTACAGCTCAATAATAATAATAATAATAATAATAATAATAATAATAATAAAATAAAGGTTCCCTTTTAGAGCAAGTAGCTAACTTCAAGATCTTTAACAATTAATTGTCCAAAAAAGCAGTATTAGGGATAATTAAATTTTATTACTGAAAAATAAAAATCGCCTCTTTTTCCTCCCATATGCAAATGTTTGTAGATTTCACGTATCTATTAATAAGCTATCAGCATGTAGTTTCTCATGATTATTGTCATATGGAATAACAGCTCAGTCCAGTTTTTCTATACATGGCAACTATGTAAAAACTGTATCAAAGTGTTGTTTACCCCTACCCTAAATTTCCTTGGTGCATGATATTAGCCTTATAATTTTTATAGTTCTATAAGACAGTGCCTTTTATTGGCACTTGAAATCTGCAAACTTGGAGAATTCTTTTTCTTTTCTTACTGTAATATATGTATGTTTTAATTACAATTATAGCATCCAAGTTATAAAAATATCCTTCCTCTTTTTTTTTTTTTTTTTTTTTTTTTTTTTTTTTGTAACGTTTGCCATCTATTGCCCTCTATATGTGATGCTCCTACTGACTAAAAATGTAATAAAAAAGTTAGAAGTACTGATGAAGGAACACTTAGATGTAGAAATGCAGAAATAATGATTGTGAACCACATAGATCCATATAATGCAAAGGATCCATACTGAAGAGAAAAAATTTTGATTGCATATAATGCTAATTCATAATGAATAGGAACTTGGAAGTTGAGGCAGATTAAATTTTATTTTTATTTAAATTGACATTTGTGGCTGCAATCTACTTGGCACTCCAGTAGGGCCTATTTACAGAACATTTGCATTTTTGGTACTACAGTCAAAAGTCTGTACAGTCAAACGTCCATAACCCGGAATGATCTATAATCCGGACCTCAAAGCTACAAACTTTCATCAGCTAAGCTAAAATTATCGAATTATCTATTTCAGTTAATGTTGCAGATTGCGTTGTTCCTTTAATCTTCTAATTGGATCCGGCTTATTATTTTTTGCAGACTGTTAGAGCAATTTTATAAAAGTAAGCTTGAACATTCGATTATGTCAAAAAGAATTTCTGATTCTGGAGCTGCCAAAGGATCTACCAAGCAAAAGCATGTTTTGATGTCCATCAAACAAAAAGTGGAATTGCTGCAAAAAATCCATAAAGGCATATCCTTTGTTTCTCTAACCATTCCGAAATCTGTTTATCAATTTCACGCTGTTCTGTGGGGAAGGGGATGTCGCGGCGTGCAATGAACTAGAAGAGTTGATCTGTCAGCACAATCCTTATCTTCAGGGCAGATGTTTATATTTTTTCGGCTTATATTTCCTTACTAAATGTAGTATTTCATCTCGATGTACTCCGTCTTTGATATGATTTAAATCAAATTCTTCGTCATTATAAATATCATGAATACACATCAAATAGTTTTCTGGTTTGCGATTTTCTAATTTCGACTATGCGTAAAGTATGCTTTACGCATGTGCGCGTTGAAAGAAATGTTTAATAAAGTAAACAAATAAATATTAAGCTTTTTTTTTTTTGTAAATTTTGATAGCCTTTAGATCATAATTGCTCTTTATTTCATAAATTACGGTTTCATATTTTTAATTTTATAATTTCTGCATGCCATCTTACCAGATTTAAACTGATGATCTATAATTCGGAAAAACCGATAGTCCGGAATCGCCAAAGTCCCGACGAGTCCGGATTAAAGACTTTTGACTGTATCACGGTAGGAAGAAAAGCATTACAAAAGAATGTCCTAGATGGTTCAACAAAAGAGCTATCAGACTAAACATATTAGAAAATAAAATTCTATGGTTTGTTTACATATAAATCTTTTACAAAATTGTGCGAACACCCTCTGTATTGGCTTGCATTTTTCTATTATATTGGTAGATGAATCTATTGCAGCAAAAGGGCAAGCTAATAGGTACTGATAATAATAGCTAATAATTTAATTGTGAACTACATCCATTGCAAAAGCCTCAGCCTTCTAGAGGCTGAGGGGATAAGGCTGCTGAATACTGATTTTTTTCAACGTGAATGGGCTAGTTACATGGATGTTTGATCATAATCATAATCTTCCATATGTGTAACATGAATATGATTCAGTATTTTATAGAAAGTGTTCCATGAAGGAATGAGGCTGATAGCTGTTTTGTATATTACCATAATAAATTTTAAAAACTTAAAAAAATCTATGGTTTTATTATTGATTAAAAGTATGGACATTTCCTTAATGGATAGGGCATTTAAGCCTTTGAAGTTCGATGCATTAAAAAAAAAATAACTTTACACATAGATAACTAGCTCCTCATACAATATTATTTCATGGGGGAGGGGTAAAAAAAACATGTGAACCTTTTAGGTAATTCATGACATGGTGGGATACCACTTGTCCCACCGTGCACATAGAGCAGTAAAATGGCATTTTTGCCACAGCGTAAATTCTCCTAACATGCTTATCTAAAGTGCTAGTTTTAGCATAAAAAAATGTTTTTGAATAATTATGTAGAAAATATTGATATATTTGCAAAATAAAAAAAAATTTTTTTTAAAAATCGATCTCTGTATGACTTTTTAGATATTTTTTAATGATTTCATAATAGATTTGAAACAGAAAAGATTTTGGCTCCAGTACTTTATTTGCTATGGGTTTGAAAAGGAAGGCCGTCATGATTTACATTTCACCTCTCTTTCCTCTGCTTAAGATATTTTTCTATGGTGAATCACACTTACATATCATGCAAGTAATCACTTACATATTCAGTATTCAATGACATTTCATGTTACAGAGTTATATTTTCATTTCTTTCGTAAAAAATACTAAATATTTTTCAAGTTTAAAATTATTGCAATTTATTAAAAAATTAAAATTTGCATTATCAGCATACTTGATACTTTACTTGAATTTAAAAATATTTGAATGGTGCTGCCATCTAGTAGCAGCAATTCCTACATGCTTGATGGGATGTATTTGGTCCAACCGTTTAATTTCAACCATTCTTAAGTAATATATTAAATTCAATTTTTTTTTTTTTTTTTTTTTTTTTTTAGAAGAAAAGGGAACTTTTACATAAAAATATTCATTCTAACACCAAAAGTTGTTGTTCAGATAATTTAAATTGCATTAGAAATAAATAAAAAAAACTGCTTCAAAATTAGACCTGTAAAGAATTTTTATTTATATTATTTCCATGAATGAATACTAGTGCTGCCATCTGTTATACATTTAGAGAACTCAAAGGTGTTATTTATTATTATTATCTCATTTAGAGAACATAATTATTTATTATTATCTCATTTAGAGAAATCAAAGGTATATAACAGTTAACTTATATATAAATTGTATGTATTTTAATCTTTTGAGGCCGGGGCTTTGGTAGCAATAAAAGCTACCAAAGGATGGGGAATCTTGAACCGAATGCTTCCCCCCTTTAAGAAATCACCCCTATTTGCAACAAAGATCTTGTGTGTATTTAATGGATTTCTCAGAGGGTGCATCTATGTCGCAAAAGGAAGACCTTTCAAGGAAGACCTTTGAAAGAGATAAGTGGTTAAAACCCTAGGGACGTCAAATTTGACATTTCACCCCACTTTTCAGCCTGGAAAATGGGAGGAAAAGACATGGCCACCAAAGTGGACAACCCCGTCTTTTCAAAGAGAGGTCTCTATGGCCACTATAATGGCCATCCCGTCTTCAAAAGGTTAAATGGAATTTTGCAGCTTTCATCTGGGAGAGGAAAACTGATAAAAGTGCCTGGTGCCCATCAAAGGATTAAAATGCAAACTGTAAATTAAGTACTAAATATGGATGCATGTAAATCCTAATACATAATAACTGAATGGTGTAATTTTAAAATGATTGTATTGGAAAATGAGTTCATTGTTGCATATAGAAAAACCAGTTAAATACAACATAGAAATTTTGATATAATGTACTACTACTGCATAGCTTTATTGATTGTGCAGTTATTTCTGCCAGTTGTCTGTGAATTTGATACATGTTGCCTTACTGTGTATGTATGTATGTGTGTGTGTGTGTATGAAAAATTAAATGAAAAATTTCTCTTTCTTTTGTTCAATGAAGCAAAATAAAGAGGTAGCAGGAGAATACTTGCTATTAGCTGCAGCATAAGTAAATAAAGTAAAATTAGTGAATAAATAGACGAAATGTGTGCATTATGAGATTCTAATATTATTGGAAGAGTAACCAATGCGTATTGATTCTGGAATTTATTACTAACTTGTATAAATATGCCAAAGCTCTAACCAACATACACTATGTTAGCAGTGGTACACTCTGGGAATGACAGTGTAAAGTTTGATCAAGGCGTTTACAGAATGCAATCAAGGAAGCACATGAAAATGCTGAAAAGGAGGTTTAAAGTGACAAATTCTAGAGGAATGAAGAATTTTAAAAAAAAAAAAACTTACTTTAGCCTGCAAAAGAGATGAAA